GTGCTTAGTTGCTGGGTGGGGTTAAACCATGACAGGGTCTTAGCATTTTACCTTGCCTTCTCTTACAGATTGCTCGGCCAGCCCTTTTTGATCAGCATGTGGTGAATTCCATGGTGTTGGATATTGAAAAAGTTGATTTGAATAGTATTGGCTCTCAGGCACTCCTTGCAGTCTCAGGGAGCACAGACTCTGATGGGGAGGTCTACAGTGAATGTAAGTCCATGTTGATATATTTGTCTCATTAAAAGTAATCCACTCTTTCATTCCATGCCACACTAGTCTACTTGGAGATGGACTGAGAAAAGGCACACGTAGACACTACATTCTCTAATCTAGCTCAGTGTTAACTTCAGTAACTTAAGAAAACCAATCGGTTGCCCTAGCATGTCCTACAAGAACAGAAGCTTGTGCTGGGAACTCATCCCAGCTAGATGACTTTAAATGGTTGCTGAAAAAATAATTTACACGTCAGTTGCTAACTGTAATAAAATCTCTTTTAATCTCTTTTGAAGTTTTGTCCTAATCATATGGGGATATGAGCACAGATCAATTCTTGAAAGACGTCTCAAAAATTACATATCATTATGGCTTAATTTAATGGATGTTGGAGCTAGTTTACTTTTTTTTTTAATACGAATAGATTTTTTTTTGTTGAAAATTGATCTTTAAAAAAATACATAATTTTCTATAAAGTATAACAGCTATTTTCATTCAGAGAATAGAGTGAAGTAAAGTACAAATTTTGAGGGTGTTAATTTTCATATACATACCTGTTGTTGAAAAAAGATATAGCCATTTTCTCTATTAAAAAGATAATTTTGTCATAGGAATCATGTTGATTAGAGTTTGGAGAGCTGAAAGGAGAGCAATAGCAATGTGTTGTCTTCTAAATATTGTTACTTTGATTATGAAAATTTGTTCTTTTTAATGGTTCACAATCCTATTCACATTTTCATTTGAGTTGCCTGTTTCCTACTTTTTGTGTAATTGTTTTCTATTTTGTTCTTCGTCTTCTTTCACACTGGTTAAAAAAAGAAAAGGAGAAGAGAAATAACTGGTCATTCAGGCACTTTTTCAAAAATGGGAATTGGGGAAGTAAGCTTTACATTATATTGTGAGAAACTTGTAAAATATAAGGGAAACCTAAGGCAATATAAAAGTCTGCCACATTGCAGATAAAGCTTTACTCCTAAACTTAGTAATAGAAAGGTTTTCAAGGCTGAATCTTAAAATGAATGGAAAATATCAGAATTTTTTTGCTTTTGTTTTCTTGTAAAACTTCATTGTCTTACAACCTGTATCACTGTAATGCTTAAGTAATTAAAATATATATGTGTGATGGATGTGTGTCTGCTTGCTTTGCTGGGGAATTGCTCATTTCTTCACTGCTCTAATTCTTTGCTTTTTCTTTCCATGCTACAATATTGTCATATGGCTGGTGAGTGGCTTTTTCTCACGTTCAGAGTAGCGTGCAATGATATGTTCTCCTTTTTACATGGTAGATGACTCTATTACAGTGTTCCAAGAACTGAAGGACCTTCTAAAGAAGAATGCCACTGTGGAATCATTTATTGAATGGTTGGATACTGTGGTTGAGCAAAGGGTTATCAAGGTACCTTTCAAATGTTCTGCCTGACTCAAGACCAAATCCTACTCCCCTTACTCCTACACAGTTCCTTACTTATGCAGTCCCATTGGTTCCCACATGGGATTCTCATCTCTTCTCCCATCTCCTTATTGCAACAGGGGAGTTCTTCATTTGGTGTGAAAGGTTCCAGTGCCCTTAGTTCTAATTAATCATGTTGAGTGCTGTTGAACAGTCTTATGTGTGTGACAAACTAGGAAGTATCTTAACTAAAACATTAAAGTCAGCCCTGACATAAACTGTACATGAAAGAAACCCATCCACCTTATCTGTGCATGCAGAATCGCAGGGGTATTGCCCAGTGAGTAAGGTGAACAAAAGTTGTTCCTTAGAGAAGCAGTTCTTTCTTTCATGGTATCCGGATGCTACTGTATGTGGTATAAGTTAATGTAGCAGATGGATTCAAAAGTAGCTGACCTGTAGAAGGATTTCTACAGACCAGGATGGAAGATAGAGTTTTGTAGCTTTATAAGGTGCTTAACTCGGTAATTGATGGTTTTGATGGGATTTTTTTCCTCCCTGATTTACAAGATGCTTTATAATCAGAAGTATTTTATATGCATGTAGTTATATACGAATGATTACACTATAGTTCAGAACCAAATAATTGAGTTCTGAATTATAGCTCAAGTAAGAGATATTTACCCAATTTGTGACTCTAATGTATGTAAACTAGCAGAATAAAATGTTACACATTGCTCGTTAGTAGCTAAACACTGGTCTTCTCATCACGTCATGTCCTATCTGGAAATGCAGTATCTTATCGATCATTTTGGGAGCATCTTGATATGAGTGGATGCAAGAGGAGGAGACAGTGCAGTTAGCTTTGACTGGCTTGCAGAAGAGTGACTGCCACTTACAGAATAACCATGGGCATGCCGTTTTTCCTTTCTTCACCTGTTTTCCCAAATTTCAATGGAGACAGTGATAATTTCTTTCTTTTTAAAGCACTCTGAGTTTCCTAACATTTGCTGCCATATGTGAGCACAGTGAGGAGCTTTGGATGATTCAGGACAGCAGAGCCAAAGCAAGTCCTCATACACACTTACCTAGACACAAAACTCCCACTGAAGCTAAGCAATCACAACTTATTTTAGAACTGGATGACTATGGTCTAAAATTGATTCCACAATTTCGGAAGACAATTCCTGATAAACAAGCCAGGCAGAAAAGGTGAAGCACTCTCCCATTCAGCATCTACTATGTGATACTGTATTACTAAAGTTAACAGGTATAGTTCCTAGCATTGCTTTCCTGTAGTTAAGGTAAGAAATACCTACAAGTCTTGATGTGCAGCTAGGTCAACTAAGCAGAAGCTAATAATTTACAGAACATGTAATCCTTCCATTGCTGTCTGCCTTCTGTTCATGCTAAAGTGTGGTTACTGTCAAACTCACACAACTTCTTTCTGCTTGCTCTTTGAGAAAGCAACAGGGCATACGTTACCACACAATCAAACCACTGCCAGAGCAAAGAGACAGTATGAAATGAGCAGCATTAAAAGCATCAATGTTACGATAGTAAACATACCATTTTGTAAGAGAAAGTCTGTCCAGTATTATACAGATGACATTAAAGTACAAAGACTGATTTCTGTTCCCTGTTTATGTGGAATAACATAGTGCCAGAGGGTGGGTTTTTTTCTTTCTGCCTTGCACACCTGTATATTTACAGAGCAGTTTGGCACCTTTAATACTAAAATATGAGCTAATTTATATACCTTCAGGCCACAGCAGAGCCCAAGCAGTAAGCAGTTTGTTTTATCTTACATTGTCAGAGCTCTACTCTGGTTGCACTGAAAAGAGTGAATGCTGCTCTTCTTTATCACTTTAGGACACACATTATGAAGACAGTTTGAATCAGGCAGCTTGATCGACCCTGCCACATCAGCCTGAGTCAAGGACTCCTTGAACTCTCAAGCATATTCAGTTCTCCTTTATTTTCTTCTGTGTGCAGAAAGCAAGTTAGCATACTTAACAGTATTTTACTATTCTCTTTCAGGCAAGCAAGCAAAATGGGAGGTCATTAAAGAAGAGAGCTCAAGACTTCCTTCTCAAATGGAGTTTTTTCGGTGCTCGAGTGATGCATAACCTAACCCTAAACAACGCGTCAAGTTTTGGTACCTGGGCTTTGTAAAAACACTGATATTTTGTACATATGTACTAGCACTTAGCAGCTTTCCACCATTTCCTCAGCAGAGGAACCTGTCCTAGTCTAATGCTGTGTAACGTGTTTTTCAAACTAACATTTCACAGTAAATGCTAGCAATATTTTGTTAGTGACCTGTGTCACATGTTCATTTTTCAAAGGTATTTTTCTGTTGAATTGCTGTTTAATACCGCTTTGCCATTTAAGAGCTAGAGCTCTATTTGTTTTGATATGGCAATGGAAGTGTTACTGCATATCTCAGTATAGGAGACAGAAGATTTAAATTATTAGTTTCACATGTGGATCAGTTTGGTAAAAAATTACTGCTGTATAGAAATCCTTGTGCATGGTATGTTTTCATAAAAGCAAAAGGAATTTGGCAGATCACCACTCATTTAATTCTGGGATCAGCAGACAGTTAATTCAACAGTGTTTGTGGCTTTTAAAAATTAAGGTTCATATGTCCATCTTTAGAAATGTTTATATTTTTGGGGACTCTCAGAAAAAACCTTTTATAAAACAGAAGATGGTAGAACAAGTGAAACTCACTTTAAATCCAGTACTTAATTTCCTAAGTTTAGTTGTAGGTACATTGTTATCTAAATTTCAGATGGTATTTGAAATTGCTGTAAGGAGACACACATTTTTAATGTGATATATCCTTGAAATAAGGTCAAAGACTTCACCAGTTATTGTCTGGTTATTTAGCACAAGGCAAACAGAAATAGCGCAGAGGCATTCTAGCAGGCTTTGGCCTTATCTAGCTCCACTGTGTGCCCTCTTCAAGTATAAAGCATGTCTCACTTTCATCAGTATTTTTCTTTGATGTAATTAGTGGTCAAATAGCCTACAGGACAGTAAACAATTGAGCTAGGTGGGCCAGTGCAAAGAGAGATTAGAGCTAGAAGTTAGGTACTATTCCTTGTTGGTCTTGCCAGGTCATTTAAAGTCCACAATTATTTGTTTGTTTCACTCGCTTCTTGTAGAGTGGTGAGAGATGGTCACAAAGATAATTCAGCTACTCTCTCTCTTTCTCCTCCAAAAGGTTCTTTTCATTTGATCCGCATGCTACTAGATGAGTACATCCTGCTTGCCATGGAGACACAGTTCAACAATGACAAAGAACAAGAACTCCAGAATCTACTGGACAAATACATGAAGAATTTAGGTAACTAGAGCTTGGTTCTTTTGAATGTACTCCTGTATTTTTAGAAATTGACATATTTGTTTAACTTTAAATAGAAGCAGGCTTACTATCTTCTCCTGAAGGTGTAGTTATATGCAACATTGTCAAATTCATCTGAAAAGCTTGTGACCATTCACTCATTCCCACCATCCTACCGTAGTTCACTTAATAACATTTTGTGGGAATGTGAATACACTGGATCACTGACATAATCTTGGATGCAACAAACACTTGTAGGTGCATCTGAAGGGCCACAAGCTGAAGTGTGAAAAGAGGTATAAGTAGCAGAACGGGCAGGAATTCCTAATCCAATTTTTCTGCCAAAGCTTAAATATGTGATTACACCTTGAACTAGGAATGTATTAAGTGTTACCAAAATGCAAATATCCCTGCAAGGTTGGAACACAAGTTTGGAGCCCTATTTACCATCTGGCTGAAGTATTACTATGTAGAGGAGAAACAAAATGAATTTAAAACAGTATCCTTAACATTTTCCATCTACCAGGCTTCTACAAGGTTGGACAGTTTGAAGTCATATGCTCCAGGTCCTTTGCTATAAAATTAATGAAGATTCATTAACTTCAAATTCTGGTCCAAGTTAATCCCTAAAAATCCAGTGAAACTCAACAGGGTTCTGCTGAATTATTTTTTATTAACATTAGCACCAGCAATCAATCTTTAACTTTTTGGTTGTTGTTACTCTAAATCTCCACTTTGCTGCAAGAAACTTGCATAGAACTTGTCTGACAGTAGATGCTGCACTTTTTCTTTTAATTCAGCCTTCAAGAAAAAACTTGCCCTATGTAGCAGTTGCCTTATCCTTGGATGCTTAGGTGAAGTACTTGAAACCATAAGGTGAAGTCATGGTTTCCACTGAAGAACAGCAAAACTTCCACTGACTTTATCAATAGTCTGCAGAAAACTGAAGAACTGAGTAAAACAAACGCTTTTCTCTAGATATCAGTATGAAAATAGAGTTCAAGCATTCTAAAATTCCCATTGTTAATTCTTTAGGATGAAGTGTCATGAGCCTGATTCACTCTCAGTGCAATTTACTTGACTTCATTGCTGACATTTACTTTGAGGGAATAAATCTCATTCATACCTTCACTATGATGGCTTCAGTAAGGAGCTGATACTGTGTGATGTAGATCTGTGGTCAGGGAATATGATACAAACGGTTCCACTGGGAAGATCAAGACTAGAGCAATGTTTGTATTCATTGGCTACATGCAAAATATGGAGGCTTCACTGGGTTTTAAGATAAGCAACCAAAGATATGAACAAATCGGGCAGCTCATGTGCTGTCTATATACTAGTGGTGAATTTACATGCAATGAGCATACATAACAGCCACCAAGAGTTTTCACTTACTCTTCCAGATGCAAGCAAAGCCACCTTTACCGCATCACCAAGCTCTTGCTTCCTAGCAAATCGTAACAAAGCTGCTCCTCTGCCCAGTGACACTTCAGTCAAAAATGAGTGTCTAGCAGAGCAAACCTACGTGTCCTTGTCAGCTAGCCAGCCCAGCAGTGTATCTTCTGGTCTGAACCCTTTCGCCACAGGAGACAGTGAGAATATGCAGCTGACAGGTATGTTCTAGTTTCTCCTTCACTTATTTGCTTGTTAGTCTTTCAGTCCACAGTAACACGTTGCTGTAGGAGGAGCAATGACCATATGCATTTATAAAGACCTCTAGTAAATAACATTTCATGAGCTTACCCTCTGTGCTGATTTACAGAAGGGGACAATTGTAGAGCCCTGCCAGTAATAGATCCTCTTGGAACAATGGTAAAACTATCCTATACCTCTTGGCTTGGTGAGGTTCTTGTGAGGAGAGAATGAACAGTAACACCTGGCGCACACGAGGCTGGAATTTCCCACTGAATGTGGCAGCCTCCAAGCTGGAGAATGAAAGTGGGAAGCTTTATAGCCTGAAGCCATGGATTAGAGAAAGTGTTGTTTAGGTGGGGGCTAATGCATATCCTTTGTAAAGGTTTCAAATGGTAATGTACACTTCGAGAGTTAGTGTCTTAACAGATCCGCTCTATTCAGCAGTACTGCGGTATGAATGCTAATCACGGCTAATGCTTATTTATTCCAGGTCAGATGGAGCTGTCTCAAAACACTGGTCACCTGATGACTCCACCCATTTCACCAGCCATGGTCAGCCGAGGAAGTGTTATCAACCAGGGGCCAATGGCTGTGAGACCTCCAAGTGTAGGTCCAGTGTTATCCACACATTCACAGTGCTCTTCCTACTCAGAACCCCTTTATCAGACTTTGTCACAAACTAATCAAAATTACTATGGAAACAATTCCAATTACCAGGCTATGTTCAGAACTCAGGCCCATTCCACTTCAGGAGTTTACCACCACAGAGCAGAGCACAGCCGATTCAATGCCTTGAGTGAACAGCAGTTCTCCAGAGACTACTTCAGCAATAGTTGTGCTGTGTCTCCATACAATGCCAGATCTCCTTCCAGCTATGGTCCCTCATCCATGTCTCAGGACACACACAATATGCAGTTTCTGAATGCTGGGAGTTTCAATTTCTTGAGCAACTCAGTGTCTACATGCCCAGGAGCAGCATATCCCGCTAATGCTTCCAACGGTATTAATATATATTTTCTTTTTCCCTTCTGTTTCTCTTCCTTGCTGGAGTAAAACACTTTTTCTCTGCTTTTTTCTATGAAATATGTTTTTCAGCTCTTATTTATACCTTCCTGTTTTCCACTTCTCTGATGACACACAGAGATTGTAAAGCAGCTAAACAAGCTACTTAAGGATTTATTTTCCTCTGGTGAATCCTCAGTTGACCTCAAATGCATCTGCTGCACCTGTGCTAATCTTCCGTTGGCACCATCACCATGTCTTGCACAAAGGAAGCAAAACCAAGATGACCTTGTGATTTAACAATCTCTTGAAAAGCCCCCAAAACATCTACTATGAAATAGAGCAGGCATAAGATAGCTTACCTCTGGGATCAGCATAATGGAGCATTCTAGTCACAGGGTATAAAAAGTCACGAAGTATAAAAATGTGCATTAACATTAGTTTGAGACTTTGGCCCTGATATTTCTCATACTTCTAACATAAAGTTATTGCCATAATCTGCTTCAGAGATATAGTCAGCAAAACCACCTCCCTCTTCTGGAGGAAAGACACAGTGGAAATGTTGCTTTTATATGGATCTGTATATGCAGTAAGTACATACTACCATGCAGATTTTCTTTCCAGGTATACTTTCCTTGATTGTGAGCTTCAGAAGGGAGCACTGAACTGTGGATAGGAGTCCCCTTGGTGTCTCTTACGGCCACTGATTACAGGCTACTGTTTGATTCTGAACTTAGAAGGGAAGGGCAATTCTGTACTGAAGGCATGACTGAACTCTTAGGATGTTTTTGCTCCCTTGTTACCACCCCTCTTTTGGGTTAGTCACTGCATATCTTACTAATGTTACTAGGCTGTATGTGTACATAAATAATCTTATTCTCGAGGGACTCAGCTGGAAACAATTACCTTTTGCCCCAGGTTATCACAGGCTCCTGCCCTACCCTTTCTCTTCAACAGTAGTTTTACTCTGCTTTTTTCCAATCTCCTGTCAATAGGATATTATGGAAACAATATAAATTATCCAGAATCTCACAGACTTGGAACAATGGTGGATCAACATGTTTCTGTAATCAGCAGTGTAAGCAGCATTCGATCATTGCCATCATACAATGATATACATGATCCACTGAATATCTTGGATGACAGCGGAAGAAAACAAACAGGCTCATACTACACAGAGTCCTCACCTTCAATTGTCTGTCGGACTCCTATGCGTAAGTATAACCAACAGCTGAGAAGAGCTATGAACTTTTTAGCATCCTAACAAGTGCTGAGTATTAAACTGTAGCTCACATATATAGTATATGAGACGCAATATAGAGAGAAAATAGCTCAGTACCTAGGATGTATCATAAGATGTGTTTTCCTTAAAATTGCAGGACAGTGGGTTTAATAACTCTTCGCTCCCATAAGGACGGCTATGATCCATTGTCCATGAGAAGTGGAATTACTGGCCTGAATTACAGAAAAATCCGTATTAGGAAACACTTTCTAACTATTAAGTGAGCTAATAATGGACTGGGCTCTTCTACGGGCTCTTAAGGATCCTCACTGTCAAACAGATCAAATGAACCCTGGGTCAGGGATGTCTAAATATATTCTTCCTGTGGCATAGTCTCTTCCTGTCCTATGCTTCAACAGCTGTGTGTATTAGGCAAAGCTCCCACTGACAGTGAATTTTAGGTGAAATTACCTAACCCCAGAGGGTTTGTTTTGGTATATGCATTAAACAAATGGCAGCTGAGTTTGGTCTCACATTCCAAAAAGTGTTGCATGGAAGATATAAAATAGGACATTGTTTGTTTGTCCACAAGATTGCCTCTTCCTGCTACTTACCTGTTAACCTTGCACAGAAGATCAGACATTACTTGCCTCATTAAGGCTCTGCAAGAATTCAGTGCTCAGTTCTTTAAAGGATGCTAAAGGGGGAAAAAAACTCAGCACCACCACACAGGAGCTGTATCAAGTATCTTCTGTATTCTATGTTGATATGTGCCAGGTGGTGGCAGTGGTACCACCAGTGGATACGGACCTGAATGATGCAAGATATGGAAAGACGAGCATAGAGCACATAAATACCTTTGCACAATTTTCATAGAAAATGGCTCATATGCAAGCCATAAACTTCAGGCCCGTAGCTGCATTTTTAGCAGAGTTCGCTTATACATGGGTTTTTACCTATTCCCTGATGGCGTGAGGAGCCACTGAAGAAAAGTTATAGAAGCATAGGTAAATTGAGTGAAGCGTAGAAGTGTTGACATTTCTGTCCTTCAGATGGTGTGCCTGGTAGATAAGGGTTTCTGTCAGATGAAATTGGATTGTGTTTTTTGTTAAATTCAATAGATAGAAAACCTGCAATGATGGTAACTTTTTTTCCCCACAGCTTCAAACATGCAAACCACATCTTCTTCCCAGTGTATGTATGGAACATCTGGTCAGTTCCCTTCTCAGGAAAATATGGAGTCCCATGGCCCACCAAGCAGAGATATGGTGTCATCTTTACCACCAATCAACACTGTCTTCATGGGAGCAGCTGCTGGAGGAACCTGAACTGGGACAGACATGTCAGTGCCTTAAGCTTACTTTCCAAATCCAGATATTAAGGCTATGATGACAATCCCCTTCAAGTTGGTGGAATAAAAAAGTATTACATACAGGTGTTAAAGGAGCCATTTCAGAGATATTAGCAGCCCTCCACACAAAAAAAAAGCTATATTCAGATTGGGTCCTGCTTGTGAATCACTCAGGATTGTTCTCACCATTACAGCTTTTCAGCTGTAAATTCAGGGTGAGCAGAAAGAACCAGTGATTCTTGCAAGCAAGACTAAGTTGTAAAGAAATGATTACATCTATTCCTAATTTATTAAAAATGCTATTTTAGTCTTTCACTTATATCTTTTTGTATAAAAATGTTTATTTAATGCCTGTGTTGCTCATTATTTATTAGGATCACAGAGTAACTGTTTACTTTCTCTTATTTGACAGATTGTCAAATGTATGCATCCTACCTCCTATGGAAATGTTTACAAGGTCAATTTTTACTGTTTTAAATGAAACTAAGCCAAATTCTTAAGTTTTTTACTGTTGTGCTCTGGAAAGTCAATTTCAAATGTTTAGTGCCTACTTGTGTGAGTGAAAGTCCTCAGGAAATAAATAAAATGTATTGTGGGGATTTTTTTTTCTTTTAAAATAAACCACTTTCTCTTAAAATAAAACCAACAAAACATGCAAATATCATAAGCTAAGCAATTGCGGTAGCCTGCTACTGTAGACGGATACTGAAACAAATGAAACTATGCCACAATATGTCATGGGATTTCAAAATTACATGTGGTATGAGCCCAAAATTTCTACTGGTGGAAATCCACAAAAAGATGTCCATCAACTTTCATGGGCTTAGGGCAACTGTGTACACTGAGACCAAAAGTAGTAAAGATGATTAAAAAATATTGCAACCCTCTAGATCAGCTATTTTAATAAAAAAATATTTTACAAGTGCCATGATATTCTGTATACAAACATGCATTTATCTATGTTTCTGGAGAAGCCAGGTGAAGAATATTCACTAATGGTATTAAAGAGGACAGAGAAGAAAAGCGAACAGACTTACAAAACAAGCTTTTTGCTACACATACATGAAATAACAGGTATTATTTATCATCAGACTGTCCTAACATCAGATTCAGGTTTGGATTTAAATCCAGTCTTCTGAGGTTATTTGATGTCCATATTCCCATTCAGTCCATTGAATATATGCTGGATATTGTGGAATTAGATAGTAGGGTATTTTTGATGGAAGAAAATGGATAATACCATAATGAAGTTTTTATCCCTAATCCTGTATAACTTCCTTTAGTGTTTTCTATCATGAGAAGTCTGATTGCAGCAGAAAAGTAATAAGGAACATTGATTGGGCTAGCTCATGAATAATTCCTGGTATGAAATACTTTATGCAGAAATGAGACACCATAGTTCAGTAATTGAGATGTAGAAGACTTCAGCTCAATTGCTTCCTAATGCAGGGTGAAGTCTTATGTTGCGATCAAAAATGCCATAATGATGCAAGTAAGTTTTGGTTTCAATAAAAATTCCTAATGACATGTAGTGGCAATACAGGCTGTTCAAACAAATATTTATTGGGCAAAGCTTTACAGCAAGTGACGTAAGTACTGCAAAAGCGTTCTTTCTTCATGATTATTCAGAACAGGATATATTTTCTCCTAAAACTAGTCCTATAAAGGTCAGATTCCCCATCTAAGCGGGTCACACAGATTTCTTCTAGAGTCATTGAAGAGAGAGAGATCCCTTCCATTCCAAGTGAGGTGAGATGAGGAAGGGCAGTACGAAGGGAAGGGATATGTCGCTATCCTGAAATGGCATGGCCTAAATAATTACTTTAAGCTGGAAAATTCTTGATTGTTGAATTTACTTGACAGCAATATTTAGAATTTAGAGGAAGAGGCAGCCACTAGCAGACAAGGTCTTAGTCCATCATAGAATCATAGAATCATAGAATCATTAAGGTTGGAAAAGACCTCTAAGACCATCGAGTCTAACCGTCAACCCAACACTACCATGCCCACTAAACCATGTCCCTAAGAGCCTCATCTACACATCTTTTAAATACTTCCAGGGATGGTGACTCCACCATTTCCCTGGGCAGCCTGTTCCAAGGCCTGACCACTCTTTCAGTAAAGAAATTTTTCCTAATGTCCAATCTAAACCTCCCTTGGCGCAACTTGAGGCCATTTCCTCTCATCCTATCGCTAGTTACTTGGGAGAAGAGACCAACCCCCACCTCGCTACAACCTCCTTTCAGGTAGTTGTAGAGCGCGATGAGGTCTCCCCTCAGCCTCCTCTTCTCCAGGCTAAACAGCCCCAGTTCCCTCAGCCGCTCCTCATAAGACTTGTGCTCCAGGCCCTTCACCAGCTTCGTTGCCCTTCTCTGGACACGCTCCAGCACCTCAATGTCCTTCTTGTAGGCCCTACATAAAAAGCATAATGACATAATGACTCATGTATTTATATGCATCATTTCCAGTCCTTTTGGTTTTTTTCATGTGAACCATTTTGCATTGTGGGGTTTTTTTTTTGGTGTAAATTACTTTATCCTCACTTTATCAGAGATAAGAAACAATATTATATCATTAAATGTGCAGATTCCTGTGATGACAGCAAAACACAGAGTAGCATGAAGTATCACACTGTTGTAAATTTCAAATCATTATCAACAGCAAAGAGCACTAAAAAAAATTCTAATATTCAAACAGCCGGTTAAGAGGAACCTCTCATAGCATTGCAGAACAAGACAAAACCATAATAATTGTAACTAGCAAAACCAAATGAGAAATTTCCATCTTATGACCCATTAATTCAGTCAAATATATGGTTTGATGAACTCAGTAAGTTTTGTCTGTGGGAAATGGAATAATTCGCAGCTTTTGTGGATACCACATGGGAAGATTTTTACCTTTGGTAGTGTAGCAGCATTACAGTAAATAATATGAAGAATCAATGTAGTCGCCACTTGGTAGTTTTGTATTGCTCAGTTCAGTTGCATTTTTGTGGATGCATTAATATGTTGGCTTTAACATACACATGCCAGAAAATCCGTGATAAAAACCTGTAGATATTGAGTACAATCAGTGTCAAATGAATATTGCCTGAAGGAAAAAAAAAAGCCTTTTTTTTTTCTGAGAAGGAAAAATGAAAATGAAATTCTTTTGACCTATTTGCCAATAAGAGTGAATTCGAACTGGTGCTAGAAAAAGCAAAAGAGAGGTGGATGAACAGGTTAAATCTGCTGCCACTTCTAAAATAAAACTGATTCTAATACAAATTATATCAACCGGGGTGAAGCAATATTGTAGAAGAACCTATTGTCTTGTGTGCCACAGTCCCATGCCTAGCAAGCAACAGAAAAACTTAGAGAATTCATGCTGGAAAAGAAGTGCAGTTCTTTGACTCTGAAGGCAATTAGGACCATGGGAATTTTGCTCCAGACTGAAAATTAGCAAAAGAAAGTTTGCCTTTACCTTTAAATGTGTAGTGAAAGCACAGTGTAATTACTTGTCAAAAGGGTGGAACTGCAATGAAGTGGGCATTGAACACTGGTTTGATGCCATTGGTTCCTACTGCATACTCCACAGTGAACCTGTGTATCATACTGGTGTGATCAGCATCCTGCCAGCTATCTCTGCCCAGTACGTCAGTGGTCAGTGGTCACAGAGAGGAGGGGAGCCTGCGGTGCAGCGGGTAGAGATGAGCCATTTAGCAGAACCTTGTGTTTAAGGCAGACTATTAGAAGATCACAGATATGCTGGAACGGGAACAGATGCTTTATATGACACAGCGCAGTGCTGTTTCCCTCAGTGTGGGATCAGAACTGAGTGGACTTTAGGCTTATGGAGCCAGTGATCCAGAGAAGAAACAACTACAAAAAACCCCACTCTCAGAGCACTTAAAGAAAAACTGTAGAGATGTTATCACTCTTGGAAAAGCAGGTATTTGAGACTAAAGAAACTGAATCTGTTAGGAACAGAATCAAAGACTAGGCAGAGAAATGCAAGAATCTGTAGAAGGGAGAGAGTAACAATACAGGTCACTAATGCCATGCCTCTGGAGGAAGACGTGCTGCTACAGGCCAGGAGACCCACAGCAGCCAATACTACTGTGCTAAAATAAAAGGGGCCATCAAGCTAAACTTAAAACCCTTGGCTGCCTGCTAGTCATTAGATCTAGGTAATTCAGGAGGCCTTATCTGGTTTTGATAACGGGGAAGAGATAGATTAGAGCTAGTTTTGGGGCTGATATGCCCCAGGTTATAAGTAACAGCCTTTTGTATGAATAGTTTTGGGCTACTGTTTAATTGGAATCACTAATCTAGCTTTAGGGATTGGATTAAATTTTGTATTAACCTTGGGGATGGAGTCTGGGCAAGGGTGGACTGGCTAGTATGGGCCTTAGGACTGTTGCAAATAAAGGCCTACAAAGCTATACTAAATTCCAGTCTGAAACAGGTCACAGCTCTAGCTTTTATCATTTACTCTTTTTGTGGGATTTGGGAACAGCTACAACTGGGTTTATGGGCTTGGATTCAGGTTAGCGTGTTGGATGAGCCTGCATAATGCCTGAGCGTGGTTTACGACTCTTGCCAGTAGGGTCTGCATGGTATGCTTAACTTAACTAAGTTAATTCAGGCAAGTTTGCTGCTTTCTTCTTAGCGACGTACTCAAGGTGGAGCTTAAATCTGAGTTAGCTTTGGCATTAGGGTTAACTTCAGGGGTTGGGTCAACATGAAGCTGAGACCATGAGTCAATATTGGATTTAGAAGTGGCTGTCGAGCTTGGCTTAGTGCTGCTGCTTAGAGGGACCCCCAAACTATGCTTAGTTCTAGATAAAACAGAATGTAGGGAGACCAATACAGATTAGTATTATAGTCAGAATTAAGATTTATTTGGGCAGGAACTGGTGAAAGTGGGTTGTTTCTGCATTTAGCAGGGGTTGTTGAGCTTATATGAAACCTACTGCCAGACCAGGTGATCTAGTTA